TAAGTAACAATGGAAGTTTTAAGTAACAATAAAAGTTTTAAGTAACAACGGAAGTGTCAACAATGGAAATGTTACGTAACAATGGAATTGTTAAGAGAAAGCGACGTGCAAGACGCAGATGCAGTTTTTTTTCGTTTTTGCGGGAAATCGAACATATTTTTAGACCCATCTAAAAATTCTCTAAGGGGACCCAATTCGTGCATTCTGTGAAAACGGGTAAGGTTGACTGTAACGTAATAATCTTTATCTTAGTTATCGTTACTTTTTCCCGAGCAACGTCGGGCCCACCTGCTAGTTAACAATAAACCTGCTTATTTACCCACTAAAAGTAAAAGTTTAGAAAATTAATGAATACCCGTGGAGCATTATTATTCTGGAAAATAAGAACATACGTATTTTATTCCACAAAAATCATAGCAACCATTACATTACCTGCTGTAAAATTTATGGACAGGACACTAAACTACTCATAATTAACATATATTATCCCAAAGGAATCGATCTTCAAGGTTTATTAGAAGAAATCAATAAGATAATTAACGTTGTCCCCAACAAAAAACATTATTCTTGAGGGGGATATTAACTCGCACTCCCCAACTTGGGGAGGTGACAAACTTGATAAAAGAGGGAGAACATTCGAGCAGTTCTAAAAACATCTTCGTTTTGAACTGTCACTCACCTCCAACTTTTGAATCAAGCCGAGGAAAAAGTTGGATAGATATCTTGGCCAGCTCCTCTAACATTTACTAATACATACACAACTGGAAGGTTGAAGATGACACTACACTAAGTGACCACAAGTACATATCTTTTGAAATCAACATCCCAAATCTTAACATTCTAGAGAAACCAAGATATTACACCGCCCAGACAGACTGGGAAAGATGGAGAACATACATTATGGATAAAATTGACATAACTTCCTCACTCTCAAGGGAAGAGGCTAAAAGAAGGATTGAACGAAATCCCAAAATTATTAAGGACGCGTGTGAGATCACTATACCGAAATACAGAGCCAAGAATAAACCGGTCCCCTGGTGGAACAATACTCTGTCTGAACTGAGGCTCAGAAATAACACTCTGAGAAAAAAGTATCAAAAACTATCTTTGAACAAAAAGTATCAAAGAGGACACACAAAGGTTAAACAAACAACAATACTTACAGCTACAAAAAGAATATAAAAGATTCTAAATTGAAATCCTAAAGAAAATACTGCACTAACAGTAAGAAACCCTTGGGGGTTTCTTACTGTTACAGCTCCACTTGGTCCTAATACTGCACTAACAGTAAGAAACCCTTGGGGGTTTCTTACTGTTAGTACAGTATTTTCTTTAGGATTTAGGACCAAGTGGAGCTGTAACAGATTAAGAAGAACGCAGGCCGTGACCACCATGGAAACTATACAAATGATCTGCAAACTACCATCAAAGTGTGAGGTCCGAGCGATACTCGAGCTCACGTGTTAAAAATATCATAAAGGTGTCAAATCATGGGATTGGGCTTTGATTTTAACGCTCGTAAAAATTGAATGAAAAACCTAAAAAATCAGGAAATAATAAAATTATTAATCGAGAGGAGAAAACAGTTTTTAAATAACCTTAAAAGGAGATGCAGCGCTGATATTATGTGTCAGATTTACAAGAATTCGAAACAATTAAATAAGAGCAAGAGTTTCAAGGTGCGATTAATTTCCCTTGATCGGATTAAAATACAGTGTCGAATTAAACCTTTGGTAGCCCGAAATGGTCTGTCATCCGCTTAGATACAGGAAACCGACCAATCAAAAGCTAGAGATCCGGGGAAGAAAATCTTTTAAAAACCTGAATCTCAAGGACAAAGGCAAACTTTTCCTCTGCTTCCCCTAGTGGAGATAACTGTAGACTTCTTCCATTCTTCTCCCAGCCTCTGATAGTATCAATTACTGTCCAGACTTTCCCCAGCTAACAACTATAGTCAACTGTCAAGACTTTTCCCTGCCTCCACGAGTGGACACCATCCTGTTCGAACTTCGGGCTATCACCCTTCGTCACAACATCTCACACCATCGAGCATCGAATGATTGCCCCGGGGCCAACAACTGAACAGTCCAGAGCCACCAAAAGACAAGACAGTCTAGATTGTAAGACGTAGTATAAATAAACGAGTTTGTTTGTCACTGTAACTATTTGCCTCACTTTCCTTCATCCCACATATGATAAGTCCTGACATTTGGATATTACCAATTCGGCGACCTTCACAAAAGCTATATTTCAAAAAATGTGTAGAAGACAACGAAAACGAATATTTCGACATTCATAGTGAAATTAGAGACAAAATAAACGTAGATATTGACACTCC